AGGTGGGTTTAAGTAGGGGGAGGGAGGGTTGAGAGGTTTTAGTCGACTCGTATTATAAAATTCAACTTGTGGATGGTGGGGAGAGACACTCAATAATGTAGCGCAACAGGCTGGACACGAGGCCGAACCCTCCCTGGCTTATCTACACTGAGGTGGGCGCCCGAACACACACACACACACACACACACACACACACACACACACACACACACACTACCACCACCACATGTACCTGTCCACCTACCCCCTTAGCATCACCCCCCCAATACATATTATATAACAAGTGAATTTATTAATCTCTTTGAGTACGATAACTTAAACCATTTGAATACAATAACAAGTATACCTGAATGGGTGTACTTTTATCTGTGTATACGTACATTAATCTGGGCAGGTGTGTACAAGTGTGTATCCTATTTATAATTACAAACACGTACAGGTAATATACGAAACTCATATCTACTCACCTGTCTCAGATTTTTAGCCTTTGTCTGTCTGTCTGTCTGTCTGTCTGTCTGTCTGTCTCTCTGTCTGTCTATATCTCTGTTTCTGTCTGTGTCTAAGTAGTATTTAGAAAACAACAAAATTATTAATGACTGAACAAAAGGTGTGTGGGGGAATGATAAGCTATAGCAAGACTCAGCACTGATGGATGGAGGTCAAGGTTAGGAGAAACAGGGTGATCTCTCTCTTTTTTTTTTTTTTTTCTTCTTTGCAATATTCACCACCGTCATAAAAGTTGGGTTTCCAGCGACACGGGTAAACAAGTGATGTCACACCCCTCTGACGTCATCATACACTTACTGACGTCATCATCATATACAGTTACATTCCCGACGGTCCAGAATTGAGGAAAAAACAATAGTGATTATTGAACTCGTCGTCAAAGGTTAGACATGTCGGGGAGAGAGAGAATTATGTCTAATTAATTGTCAGATCTGATAAAAGGAATTAATAATTAATATTCATAATAATATGGCATCTAGGGTGTGAGCTGGGGTGTGGCTGACATCTAGAGTGTGGCCAGGGTATGGCTGGCATCTAGGGTGTGGCCGAGGCTTGGCTGGAATTTAGGGTGTGGCCTGGATGTGACTGGCATCTGGGGTGTGACCGAGATGTGGCAGGCATCTAAGGAGTGGCAGGGTGTGGCTGGCATCTAGGGTGTGGTCAGGGTGTGGCTAGCAACTAGGGTGTGGACGGAGTGTGTCCAGGGTGTGGCGGCATCTAGGGTGTGGTCGAGGTGTGAGTTGAGGCGTGTAAATTTCATCTGGCCGGGTGGTCGACGTTGTGTCACCTGGGAGCTCGTCAATCTTTTACGGCTGTTACACTGTTCCTCCACACCTCCAGCGGCCTAGCACGAGAGAGCTTAAGGAAAGAGGAAAACTTTGCTGACGAAAAAAAAAAGTAAAATTTTTCTGAACCGTTTTTATCCGCTGTCATTTCTCGGTGAATAATTTACATATTTTCACCAGATCTTGTATATAAAAAAGAGACCAATATTTACCAGACAACAAGACCACTCGAGGTAGTTAATTCTAAATGGTGTGGAAACGCGTGTTGGGGGATATACTGTAGAGCTCAAGTAGGTGAGGGTGGCAGACTGTCCCTGGCCCTCACTCTACCTCCTATCTCACTCGTCCAGCAGTCATCGTATAGGTGGGGGAGGGAAGGGGGGTGGGGAGGGGAAGGTGGTGGAGGGAAGGGGGGGTGGTGGAGGGAAGGGGTGGTGGAGGAAGGAGTGGTGGGGAGAGTGGTGGGGAAGGGCGGTGGAGGGAGGGTAATGGGTGAGGGATGATGGGGAAGGGAAGGTGGTGGAGGGAAGGGAGGGGTGAAGGGGAAGGAGTGATGGAAGCCTCCTCTTTTTCCTCCATGTGTAAAATGACTACATTAAAGGGTTGGTTTGGTCAGTGCCCCACCGTCACTGTACCATGCAACCTCTTACCTCACCTTGTCACCTCCTTATCTCTCGGTGTCACACGAGATGGTGAGGAGCCTGGGGGAGGGGGGCTGGGGGGAGGGGGAGGGGGCTGGGGACGGGGGGGAGGCTGGGGAGGAGGAGGAGGCTGGAGGAGGCTGGGAGGAGAGGATCTACCTATAATCCCTAACCTAACCCTCTTTTGTATATAGCAGTCTTCTCTCTCACCTCTCTTCAAATATCAATCAGTTCCTTCAGTGTGTTTCATTCTTAAGACTCTGTTCCGTCAAACAACTTCACCTCAGCTCTCACTTCCTCCGTCTCTCTTGACACACAATAAGCAACCCCCACCCCGTAGAGGAAGGTAGGAGAGGTCGGATCTTCCTCCTCAAGCGAGCACTAACCTGATGCCGTCTGTTGTCCCGAAAAGATATTCAATGTAGATATTCAGCGAAAGATAACTTGGTCTGTTGAATTTACTAAGTGACTCAAAGAAGATATGAATAATAATGAGAAAAAAAAGAACAGGGTATTTGAATAAACATTTTTAAGCTATTTTGTTTCAAGCTACCAGCGGCGACCTACTGTACATCTCTCGGTCGAGGGGGACACGTGGTGGTGGTGGTGTAGTTTCATAACACCACCGTCACTCCTGCCATTTTCTTAATATTACTCATACAAGACCTGAAGCATAAATAATGGAGACATTTATGTACACGCCTCCACCAATCTGGGATGAATAAATCCACTTGTGACCCACATTGTTGGTGGACACCCTGTTTACAACACCCACAGCTCCCCCACCCAGTTGCAACACCCTGGCTCCTCCACACTGTTGCAACACCCACAGCTCCTCCACCCTGTTGCAACACCCACAGCTCCCCACAGTTGCAACACCACAGCTCCTCCACACTGTTGCAACACCCAATCCTCCACCCTGTTGACCCTCCCACAGCTCCTCCATACTGTTTGCAACACCCACAGCTCCTCCCACACTGTTGCAACACCCACAGCTCCTCCCCCTGTTGCAACACCCAGCTCCTCCATACTGTTACAACACCCACAGCTCCTCCATCCTGTTGCAACACCCACAGTTCCTCCACCCTGTTTAACACCCACAGCTCCTCCATTCTGTTTCAACACCACAGCTCCTCCACCCTGTTGACCTTCCCACAGCTCCCTCCACCCTGTTGCAGCACCACAGCTCCTCCACCCCTGTTGCAACACCCACATTCCTCCCACCCTGTAGCAAAACCCACAGCTCCTCCACCCCAACACTTACTACTGCATTTGTTGTCCAAAATATCCAGTTGTTTGTTGTACGTGGAAAAATTATCTTCACCAACCTCCGTCCCTACCCCCCCAACCCCACAACAAAATAAAGTTCCCTGTTAAAGAGGACCCGAAAGAGGTTCTCGCCCACCGACCAACATTGGGAACGTTTTCACTTTTTAAATTGTCGCCGACTTTTTTTTTTTTGCCTGGAGACCCCTCAGAGCAGCGTGAAATATGAAGGGTGTGAGGGGCTGGTCTGCCACGCCTACACTGCCGTCGCCAGCACCAGGGAAAGTGTTTATTGTTGTACTGTACTCCCCAAGGCACACCCAGTTAATGTATTTAAAGCAAGAGATCAGAAACAGTTCAACGAAATGAATACAAATATAACTAAACACACATACATACACACATAGTTATACGCATGAATAATAAAGATATTGGTTATTAAAACTAGTAGTTGCTTGTATGATAGGCTGTAAATAATTAAATCATTAGTGTTATTATTACCATTATTAATACCTTAATTGATATTACATTATTATATAAAAACAATATTAAAATAACTGTCAAAATCCAAACATAACGATAGATTTTTTATCCATTCTAAAAACAAAGTTGAGTAAGTGAATAATATATATATCTTTTAAATCTGTAAATCAAAGTAACGTGAAATTTAGGGGATACTTAAGGAAAATCTTAGTAATAACACCATTAATCAATAGTAAACAGACTTAGAGAAGATACTGTAGTAACTGTACACTTCAACGAGGCGCGAACAGACTGGGTAACATTTTCTATTTTGCGTCAGACAACACAGCGTCTTCACAGCACCAGAACACATCGTCCCAACAGCACCACAGTAATACAGCGTCTTCACAGCACCACAGAAACACAGCGTCTTCACAGGGGCTCCGCACCACCGAAACACAGGTCTTCACAGCACCAGAAACACAGCGTCTTCACAGCGCCACAGAGACTCCACAGCACCACCGAAACACATCGTTCACAGCACCACAGTAATACAAGCGTCTTCACAGCACCACAGAAACACAACGTCTTCACAGCACCACAGAAACACAGCGTTTCACAGCGCCACAGAGTCTTCACAGCACCACAGAAGTACAGGGCTCACAGCACCACAGAAACCAGGTCTTCACAGCACCACAGAAACACAGCGTCTCACACAGCACAGAAACACAGGGGTCTTCACAGCACCACAGAAACACAGCGTCTTCACAGCACCACAGAAACACAGCGTCTTCACAGCACCACAGTAATACAGCGTCTTCACAGCACCACAGAAACACAGCGTCTTCACAGCACCACAGAAACACAGCGTCTTCACAGCGCCACATCGTCTTCACAGCACCACAGTAATACAGCGTCTCACAGCACCAGAAACACAGTCTTTCAGCACACAGAAATACAGCGTCTCACAGCACCTCAGAAACACAGCGTCTTCACAGCGCCAAAGAGTCTTCACAGCACCACAGAAGTACAGCGTCTTCACACAGCCACCGAAACACAGGGTCTTCACAGAAACACAGCGTCTTCACAGCGTTCACAGCACCACGGAAACACAGCGTCTTCACAGCACCACAGAAACACAGCGTCTTCACAGCGCCACAGAAACACAGCGTCTTCACAGCACCACAGAACACAGCGTCTTCACAGCACCACAGAAACACAGCGTCTTCACAGCACCACAGAAACACAGCGTCTTCACAGCGCCACAGAAACATGCACTTCACAGCGCCACAGAAACACAGCGTCTTCACAGCGCCACAGAAACACAGCGTCTTCACAGCGCCACAGAAACACAGCGTCTCCACAGCGCCACAGAAACAAAGCGTCTTCACAGCGCCACAGAAACACAAGGGTTCTACAGCCACAGAAACACAGCGTCTTCACAGCGCCACAGAAACACAGCGTCTTACAGCGCCACAGAAACACAGGTCTTCACAGCACCAAAACAGCGTCTCACAGCACCACAAAAACAGCGTCTTCTGCACCAACGCGTTTCAGCAACACAAAAACACAGGTCTTCACAGCACCACAGAACACAGGGGTCTTCACAGCACCACAGAAACATGCTCCCACACCACAGAAACACAGCGTCTTCTACAGCACCACAAAACAGCGTCTTCACAGCACCACAGAAACACAGTCTTCCACAGCACCACAGAAACACAGCGTCTTCACAGCACCACAGAAACACAGCGTCTTCACAGCACCACAGAAACACAGCGTCTTCACAGCACCACAGAAACACAGCGTCTTCACAGCACCACAGAAACACAGCGTCTTCACAACACCACAGAACACAGCGTCTTCACAGCACCACAGAAACACAGCGTCTTCACAACACTACAGAAACACAGCGTCTTCACAGCACCACAGAAACACAGCGTCTTCACAGCACCACAGAAACACAGCGTCTTCACAACACCACAGAAACACAGCGTCTTCACAGCACCACAGAAACACAGCGTCTTCACAGCACCACAGAAACACAGCGTCTTCACAGCACCACAGAAACACAGCGTCTTCACAGCCACAGAAACACATCGGTCTTCACAGCACCACAGAAACACAGCGTCTTCACAGCACCACAGAAACACAGCGTCTTCACAGCACCACAGAAACACAGCGTCTTCACAACACCACAGAAACACAGCGTCTTCACAGCACCACAGAAACACAGCGTCTTCACACACCACAGAAACACAGGTCTTCACAGCACCACAGAAACACAGCGTCTTCACGCACCACAGAAACACAGCGTCTCACAGCACCACAGAAACACAGCGTCTTCACAGCACCACAGAAACACAGCGTCTTCACAGCACCACAGAAACACAGCGTCTTCACAGCACCACAGAAACACAGCGTCTTCACAGCACCACAGAAACACAGGTCTTCACAGCACCACAGAAACACAGCGTCTTCACAACACCACAGAAACACAGCGTCTCACAGCACCACAGAAACACAGCGTCTTCACAGCACCACAAACAGCGTCTTCACAGCACCACAGAGTCTTCACAACACCACAGAAACACAGTGTCCACAGCACCACAGAAACACAGCGTCTTCACAACACCACAAAACAGCGTCTTCACAGCACCACAGAAACACAGCGTCTTCACAGCACCACAAAACAGGCGTTTACAGCACCACAGAGTCTTCACAACACCACAGAAACACAGCGTCTTCACAGCACCACAGATTCACAGCGTCTTCACAACACCACAAAACAGCGTCTTCACAGCACCACAGAAACACAGCGCCTTCACAGCACCACAGAAACAGCGTCTTCACAGCACCACAGAAACACAGGTCTTCACATCACCACAGGTTTCACAGCACCACGAAACACGTCTTCACAGCACCACAGATCACAGCGTCTCACAACACCACAAAAAAAGTCTTCCACAGCACCACGAAACAGGCCCTTCACAGCACCACAAAACAGCGTCTTCACAGCTCCACAGAAACACAGCGTCTTCACATCACCACAGGCTTCACGCACCACAGAAACACAGCGTCCACAGCACCAGAAACACTGCATCTTCACAGCACCACAGAAACACAGCGTCTTCACGGCACCACAGAAACACAGCGTCTTCACAGCACCACAGAAACACAGAGTCTTCACAGCACCACAGAAACACAGGGTCTTCACAGCACCACAGCACCACAGAAACACAGCGTCTTCACAGCACCACAGCACCACAGAAACACATCGTCTTCACAGCACCACAGAAACACAGCGTCTTCACAGCACCACAGAAACACAACGTCTTCACAGCACCACAGAAACACAGCGTCTTCACAGCACTCCACAGAAACACAGCGTCTTCACAGCACCACAGAAACACAGGTCTTCACAAACACCACAGAAACACAGCGTCTTCACAGCGCCACAGAAACACAGCGTCTTCACAGCGCCACAGAAACATAGCGTCTTCACAGCACCACAAAACAAAGGCTTCTTACAGCACCACAGGTCTTCACAACACCACAGAAACACAGCGTCTTCACAGCACCACAGAAACACAGCGTCTTCACAGCACCACAAACAGCATCTTCTACAGCACCACAGCGTCTTCACAGCACCACAAAACAGCGTCTTCACAGCACCACAGACTTCACAACACCACAGAAACACAGCGTCTTCACAACACCACAGAAACACAGCGTCTTCACAGCACCACAAAACAGCGTCTTCACAGCACCACAGAAACACAGCGTCTTCACAGCGCCACAGAAACACAGCGTCTTCACAGCACCACAAAACAGCGTCCTTACAGCACCACAGAGTCTTCACACACCACAGAAACACAGCGTCTTCACAGCACCACAGAAACACAGCGTCTTCACACCACAGAAACACAGCGTCTTCACAGCACCACAAAACAGCGTCTTCACAGCACCACAGAAACACAGCGTCTTCACAGCACCACAAAAACATAGCATCTTCAGGCACCACAGGAAACACAGGGTCTTCACAGCACCACAGAAACAGCGTTTCACAGCACCACAGAACACAGCGTCTTCACAGCACCACAGCGTCTTCACAGCACCACAGAAACACAGCGTTCACAGCACCACAGAAACACTGCATCTTCACAGCACCACAGAAACACAGCGTCTTCACAGCACCACAGAAACACAGCGTCTTCACAGCACCACAGAAACACAGCGTCTTCACAGCACCACAGCACCACAGCGTCTTCATAGCACCACAGAAAGACCAACGTCTTCACAGCGCCAAATCGTCATCACAGCACCACAGAAACACATCGTCTACACAGCACCACAGAACACAGCTGTCTTCATAGCACCACAGAAACACAGCGTCTTTACAGCACCACAGAAACACAGTGTCTTCACAGCACCACAGAAAACACAATGTCTTCCCAGCGCCACAGAAACACAGCGTCTTCACAGCACCACAGAAACACAGCGTCTTCACAGCACCACAGAAACACAGCGTCTTCACAGCACCAAGAAACACAGCGTCTTCACAGCACCACAGAAACACAGGTCTTCACAGCACCACAGAAACACAGCGTCTTCACAGCGCCACAAAACAAAGCGTCTTCACAGCGCCACAGAACCCAGTCTTCACAGCGCCACAGAAACATGGCGGTCTTCACAGCGCCACAGAAACACAGCGGTCTTCACAGCGCCACAGAAACCCAGCGTCCTGGCTAGCACCACAGAAACACAGCGTCTTCACAGCACCACAGAAACACAGCGTCTTCACAGCACCACAGAAACACAGCGTCTTCACAGCACCACAAAAACAAAGTGCTTCACAGCGCCACAGAAACCCAGCGTCTTCACAGCGCCACAGAAACACAGCGTCATCGCAGCGCCACAGAAACACAGCGGTCTTCACAGCGCCACAGAAACACAGGTCTTCACAACACAGAAACACAGCGTCTTCACAGCCAGGAAACATAGGCGTCTTCACAGCGCCACAGAAACACAGCGTTTCACAGCACCACAGAAACACAGCGTCTTCACAGCACCACAGCACCACAGCGTCTTCATAGCACCACAGGAAAGACAATGTTCACAGCGCCAAATCGCTTCACAGCACCACAGAAACACATCGCTACACAGCACCACAGAAACACAGCGTCTTCATAGCACCACAGAAACACAGCGTCTTTACAGCACCACAGAAACACAGTGTCTTCACAGCACCACAGAACACAATGTCTTCCCCAGCGCCACAGAAACACAGCGTCTTCACAGCACCACAGAAACACAGCCTCACAGCACCACAGAAACACAGCGTTCTTCACAGCACCACAGAAACACAGCGCTCTTCACAGCACCACAGAAACACAGCGTCTTCACAGCACCACAGAAACACAGCGTCTTCACAGCGCCACAAAACAAAGCGCCACAGCGCCACAGAAACCCAGCGTCTTCACAGCGCCACAGAAACATTAAGGCCTTTCACAGCGCCACAGAAACACAAAGGTTCTTCACAGCGCCACAGAAACCCAGCGTCTTCACAGCACAACCAGAAACACAGCGCTTCTACAGCACCACAGAAACACAGCGTCTTCTGCAGCACCACAGAAACACACAGTGCTTCTACAGCACCACAAAAACAAAGCGTCTTCACAGCGCCACAGAAACCCAGCGTCTTCACAGCGCCACAGAAACACAGCGTCATCGCAGCGCCACAGAAACACAGCGTCTTCACAGCGCCACAGAAACACAGGTCTTCACAACACCACAGAAACACAGCGTCTTCACAGCGCCACAGAAACACAGGGCCTCACAGCGCCACAGAAACATCGGCCTTCACAGCGCCAAGAAACACAGGTCTTCTAATAGCGCCACAGAAACAAAGGTTCTCACAGCGCCACAGAAACACAGGCCTTCACAGCGCCACAGAAACACAGCGTCTTCACAGCGCCACAGAAACACAGCGTCTTCACAGCGCCACAGAAACACAGCGTCTTCCGGCCAGAAACGCAGCGTCTTCACAGCGCCAGAAAACACAGCGTCTTCACGA